ATATATATATATATATATAATGTACACAAACCATTCTCCAGTTACAATCTGTTAGATCAAGATAGCCAATCATGACAGTATAGACAACATATTAACCCTTGCTTTATTCCCTGTGATGGGATTTGTGTGTGTTGGGTCAAGAGAGTCATAGCTTATAGGAACAAGCTGTTATTTACTACTTGTTAGCTCAGTGGATCTTTCACATTGTGATCACTTTACAGCAGTACAAAACAGACCAGCAGAGAACAGTTACAAGGTATTTCCTTTCTTGTATCTGCACACCCTGAGGAGTTAACCTAGGGGCATTTATTAACCCTTTTCCTAACCCCTTCACAGATTGTTGCTGTTTTTACATGTGAAGGCACTGCAGACCTTTTCAGATTCAAAAGAATTGCACACAAATTAATTCTAAAACCTAAACATTCTAGCTGCCCATGCTGTTTTCACACATTTCTCAACCAGGAACCTTATCGGCCTAAGAAAGGGTTAAATAGATCTGCAGGAGTTTGGTGCAGAGTGGAAAGATGCGCCAGCTCTTTAGCATCCTGCATCGTGTCTTTGCTAGATGTGTTTATCGGTGCAAAACACTGTCTTTTTTTTCTGTCTTTAAATTGTCTTAATGTCATTTTATCTAGTTGTGACTTGGAGATGCTAGGCATTGCAAACCAGACAGACTCAGCCACATAAGGTGCTTTCATTCCCTGTATGAAAAATAATTTAGGAACACTGTATTAAAATAACTGGTATAACAAATTATTTCCCTCAAAATCTCCAAAAAATTCCTTTATTGCATTTAATTTTTTTATGTTTGGCACAGTACAAATGTGTGGTGCTTTTTTCCCTTTTGTTTTTATTAAGGTAAACCTGCAAAGATTCATCTGGGACTTAACAAAAGAATTTTTCTTAGAAATGGGGTGTTGCTCTTATATCAGAGCATTTTTTCCCACAAACAGTGGATTGCATTCAAGGGCTTCTCAATGTTTTGGCTTTCTAATTAATACAGAACTAAACCTTGAATGTAGTCATTATGGCACATTTAACAGCATACCTTATATTATTTTCTGCCTATCCATCATTACACCTCTTTTAAATAGAACTTACAAGTTAGAAAATAGTTTTAAATTTTAATATAATCTGTTTCTGTCGTCAGCCCATAGATTTAATATATAAGCATTTACAAGAAAACAAAATTGTCTCTCTCTTTCTGTACAAAAGTTGCTGTCTTTTGTGCATTCTATTGCATTTTAATTTGAAAAAAAGTCATATTTGAGTTTCCTGTACCTTCTCTTTTGTGTGGGTCTGAATTATATAAGGTTCAGAGATGGTTGTAATTGTGGAGTGTAGAGAATTACCGATACTGTTAGCCGTCCAATGGGCCCCATGATGTGCTGGCTTGTAGGTGTTAAAGTTCATATGGTCGTGAATGGTCGGCAACACAACCACCCCCTCACCTGATACTCCAGTGGGACTCCCACTTGGGATGTCCTCATCCACTTGGATTATTTCAACAGTCCGCGCAGCTGCCACAGTGCTCCTCTGTTGATGCCTTTTTCGTAGTTTGTAAAACACTATTAGCATGGCGGCTGCCAACAGTGTGACTGCCACAAAGCAGCCAATAATAATCTTGGTGGTTTTCATTACCTCATCCAGGCTAGTTTGCATTTTATCTCCAGCATCTGAAGTGGGCACTGCCACCTGTTTGGGCATTTTTGGGGTCTGGACAAGTACGGTGGTAGTGGTAGTATATGCTGGCTGGTAACCCGCGGATGTGGTTGGTACCGGTTTGATTATAATAGAGATGTCCTCAGGAGCCATATCCGTGGTCTCCACAGTGACAGTAGTGAAGAAGCTGTAGTTTGAAGTGTTGAGCTCTGCGGTACTGACGTTGAGATAGGCCGAAGCATTTGAGTTTCCTGCCACATTGGTAACCATGCATGTATAGACCCCAGTGTCCGTGAGCAGTACTTGAGAGAAGTTTAACGTCCCATCATTGAGGATGGTAATTCGTGGATGTTTGGAAGCGTGGCTTAGCACAGTACCATTAGGTAGCAGCCACCTAACTGATGACATGGCTGAAGTTCTACATTTGAGTTCTGCCACTCTTCCTTCTGAGATATTTAAATCCCTTGGAGCGTCCATAATAAAAGGGGCTGAGCACTGAAATGATGAGTGGTCCACCTCAACCACATACTTCCCCTTCATGTGCGGTGGGGAATGACAGCGACCACAGCAGGTGGAGTTGGTAGGAATATATTCTCGCAGCCATGAGGCGAGCCAGAGAACATCACAATCACAGTCCCATGGGTTGTGGTGCAAATGCAGCTCTACCAAGTACCTCAAATGAGCAAATAGGTCATGTGGAAGGGATGATAAGTTATTGTGGGCCAAGTTCAATTCTACTAAGGATGTCAGATCATCAAAAGCATTGCGCTCAATGGTGTTTATCTGGGAGTTCATAATCCACAACTTTTTTAGTGCTCTCAACCCATGAAAAGATCCTGGTTTGATTTCAGGAAAGTTGTTCCCAGAGATCTCTAGTTCCTCTAGCCCTATCAAGGGTGTGAGGTTTGGCATGTCTCTGATATTACACATTCCAAGGTTGAGGTACTTTAGATTGTTCAATCCCTCAAATGCTCCCTCAGAAATATACTCCAACTTTTTAAGTTCTCCAAGGTCCAGACGCATCAGTGATGGTACCCTATTGAAAGCGTAGGATGGAATACTCTCAATAGGGTTATTCCTGAGCCACAGTTCTCTCAACTTGGAAAGATACTCAAAAGCCCCGCTGGGGATTCCAGTTAGTCTGTTGTCAAACAACTCCAGAGTGTTAAGGCTGGCCAAACCATTAAAAGCCCCGACCTCTATTTGACGGATAATATTTCTACCAAGTTGTAACACCTCCAAATGGTGAAGATGCCGAAAAGTGTCCGCTTGGATCATGTGGATATTATTCTCCATGAGATTGAGGTACCGTGTGTTAGATGGGATACCTTGTGGTACTTCAGAGAGGCCACGGCGCGTACAAACCACTTTGCTAAACTGGTTACTGCAGGAACAGACAGAAGGGCAGTTTTGCTGCCCTGAAAATGCTTCACAGGGGATCCACATTTGTACCATGAGGTAGATTACAGAGAAGAAGACGGCCTTCCAGGTATGGTGCACAGTTACCAGCCACAAGAAATTCATGATGTGGCACGTTCATAATTCACCATCGTCTGGGACTTGGCATGGATACGAGAACTTGGCCCTACCCAGGCTTCAGGAGGCTGCAAATTCCCTTTTCCATCTATACACAGGTGGGAGTGGTGGTCAGTAGGAGGGATACTAGACAGTGAAACTGGCTTTAAAAATATAAATGGCAAATTATATTTCGAGATACAAGTAAAAAAACAAAAACAAAAAAACAAATGGGTTTTTTTTACATTTACCTAGCGAAAGATCATTTCATATTCCTCATGCCAGTGCCTCTGCCCAGCACAACATTGGGCTCGGTTTGTCTTTCCATGTATTCCTCAATTTAATTACTGAAAGAAATTACAGAAGGTAATAGCTTGTGATGATGATGAGAGGCAAAATGGCTCCTTTAGTAGATCCCAAAGAGGAGGACAAAAAAGAAAAGAAAAGGGAAATGTAACAAGGGAGTGAGGCCCACTTTGCTATGCAGGTGCATCATTCTGCTGCTCCCCCGGGACTGGTGCCTTTTGCAGTTGAGCTATTCGTCCTTGGATTCCACTGCTGTCTCTGACAGAAGACCGGAGATTATCCATTTCTAAAATAATCAAAAATGCAGCTTTCAGTTGATTTTTTGAGAATGCAAAGAAAGATACACAATTCCAAATCTTTCGAGCCCCTCCAATTCCCTTTTGAAGGGCGCTGTGTTCCTCAGTCTCCTAATATTCCATGGGTATTCCTGCAATAGACAGACTGTCTGCAGGATTCTGATTTGTACAATGAGAAAGGCAGCACATTGCAGGCATTGACTGCTGTGTTTTTTTCCCCCTCTCTCCTTGCTGCCTTTTTTTTAAAACTAGCTTTGCTTTCCAAGCCACGGATGCAGCAGCTGCAGCCTATCTCTTGCACACTTAGCAATAATCCGCCAATATCTCAAAGGAGAGCAAGTAAAAGGGGGTCAGATCTGGGGAAAGCAGTGCTGGTAGAAAGTACGCTGGAAAGGGAAACACACAAACAGACGCACACCTCAGTGCTGAGCCCTTGGTTTGAGATTGGTCCGGAGAAGTGACAGGTTTTCACAGCCTTTCCTCTCCTGCCTTGTGGAAATCCCACTGTAGCTCCTTTTGTCGTGAGGTAGTGAGTTGAGTGCTTCTCCACGTTTTACCTTTAATTTCTTGTCCAGTCGTTCTAGCAGCAGGAGAGCAGGCAGCAGCAGCACAGACAGCAGCGATATCAGAGCCCCGTAGCATTTTCCTCTGTTAACAGTCGTCCTCTTTCCCTGTTTGCTTGGTGTTGGAAGCAGCAGCCAACCAGCCAGGCTGCTCTCTCATCCTTTCGTCCTTCAGTCAGAACGTGGATGTACTGCTGACGCATACTGTTCAGAGCTGAACATTAGCGTGATGCAGTGCTCCTATGTATTCACACAGCTCCCCTCCCACTCCTCCTTTCCTTTCCCTCTAGGGGTTAATGTTCAAAGCTTCCAGCTAAGTTGCATTGGCTGCTTCACATTCCCTTCCCCCTTTATCTTTTCTTCTATATCTGGGAGAGGAGTTAAAAAGAGCAGGCAGCGTGAGTTTTAAGAGTCCACAGCTTGCAGAGAATGATGCTCTTCTGGTTTCCTTTCAGTGATATCAGTTAATGATGCCTTTCAAGTGATGTACATTTTTTTTTTCGTTCTCCTCTTCTATCGCACAGTGTTCCATCCTTGCCTTAGCCTGCATTGGGATAAATGCAGAAATGAGGCTACAGCTGCCAGGGCCAGGGAGGACGTGATTGGCTGTTCTGCCTGTGCAGCGTCATCAACGCCAATTGCTGACTTTGCTTCCCTTTGACGACAGGGGTAATCTGCACCCCCTGGTGCAGCTCCCACCCTTTTACCCCTCTGTCAGCACACTGTACGCACACCCCCAAGTAGAGAGAAACAGTCAGAAGCAGCACCAATCCACTGGAGTGGCTGTGAAGGAAGGGGGAGGGGGGACTATTTGGGAGTAAAGAAAGGAAGCGTTAATGCCTGGTAAAGCTAGTGCTGTGCCATGTTCTATCTGCACTCTTGCATTTAACCCCTGCCCTGCAAACGGGCTGTATCTTGGTTAAAAATGTGACTGACATAGAGGATCTGCAGAAAAACAGAGCTCAGGAGGCTGGGTTTCCATTCTGTGACCTGTTCCTCCGCACGCTCTCATCAAACCAACCTGTGAATCGCACTAGCTTATTGGTGTGGAGCAAGCCTTGAGAAGCTGCATCCTCATTTATATATGTTGTCTCCCCCTATGTGCGCTCGCAAGGAAATGCCTGCTCTGTTCAGCTACCTACTGTCAGGTGGAGGTGAATTCATTGCAGGAAGCAAAGAATCTCTTGTTACTGTTCACCTGCTGCTGGCTCCTGTGCAGTTTACCATGATCTCCTATTCTTCACACAGGTAAGTAATATGGTTTGACAACTAGTTAGAAATGCAGTAAACATAAAATCAGTTATTTGAGCTAAAGTGACTGATGATTGTTTTGATTTTTGGGTGAAGTTTTATGTACTTAACATATTGACAATTGCAAAAAATGTTTGTTTTTTTCTTTCCTAACAATGCATTGATTTTCTTCTTAATTCTGACCTTTTATATAGTTATCTCTGAAGGCTTCTTGTAAGAGTACACATGCATAAGGAGTACCACTGAGCACTTTAAAACAGCTTTTGCCTCTTCTTGCCGGCATTGGGCAGCTGAAATGTCATTTGTTAACCAAGTTTTCTTTATCTGTGAACTTATGCCTCACATAGTTACTTTTATACCTGAAGCATACACCCATTAGTATGCCAGCTATTTTTCCTTCATAGGGAGCAATGTATCTTTATTATAGTAATGTTTTAATACTTGCGTACTGAGGTGTCTCAAGCATAACAGAGAGCTAGATTATTATTATTGTATAGTCTTATTTTGCTGCATGCTTTGTGCAGAGGATTGATGCAGCCAAAGTTGTCATGGAAATTGATGACCAAAGTTTTAGATTTCAGAGAATAGTTTTACCTAAAACATTACTGGAGTTAAACATTACAAATAGATATGATGATCTGCAAAGCATAGTAACCTATTCCAAACTCAGATTAGTTGTGTATCATTTATTAATTTACTGACCTGATCTTTCATAAGGTCTGCCTTTGCAGATTTAGAGGAGGGTGTTGTTATTTAAATGCCATTTTCGATTTTATATCTTGCAGTTCTTCTGAATGGGTTTTAACACGTTCTCCACCAGAGGGACCTGCAGATTAGAAATGCTTGCATATTTGAATTTGATGTCTTTATTTGTAAAAGCTCAACCACCAACTGATTGTGTTTATGCAGTCAAAGGTGAATCGGTAAAAATGCGGATAGTTTTCAGCAACAATTTAGAAGGCCAGAGCTGCTTCTGACTTGAGTATGTCAGATTGATGCTGCCTCTTTGGTCAACACTGACATTGATTAATTTGGTAACATAATGAATTGGCCAGTAGAGCAATACAATATTGATATTTTGAAGTAGTAGAACCTTTATGCAGCTCCTTAGCCAGTACCTGCTAGGAAGGAGCCACACGGTGGCAATGATGGTGTCAAAAATACCAGGCAACAGTAAGGAATGCAGTGCCTGTGTAGTGCCCTACATAGGTTGCTCATAAAATTGTCATAAATTCACATAAGCTAGGGAAGACAGGGAAGTGCTGTGCTCATCTAAGCACCTTATGCTGCCTGTAGGAATTAGAGCTACAATTACAATTCCATCGCTGCTCTACAATATCTTCACAAAGCACTGATAAATGTAATCATTAACCTCTAGCTGTAGTGAGCTAGGTTTGAATTGGGGGCCTTTTTTAAGGATTTGATTGCAGATAAAAACAAAAGAAGTCTCAGAATAGGGCTAATGGGAGGCATTTGTTGTGCAGTAATAGCTGAGCGTTGTGAGGATTTCCTGCATCAAAACCATTAAACGCTCGCCTCATGTGGGCAGCAATCCTGTTACTTCTAAAAAGTGTAGAAGCCATGTTTACTGCTGGAAATAAAATAACAGAAGCTGAATACACGATTGAGTTTACAAAACTGTACTATGTGCACCTAGCTTCATTTTTCTTAATGTTTTTTTATTTATTTTTTTCTGCTAGCCATTCAGTTTAACAGTTAGTTTTTATTAAAGATATCTAGCTGCAGTGATGATACATTTTGTTGCGCTTCACCTCTTAATGCCTGAAACGCATCTTGATATTGCAGTTTACAGATCACACCTAAATGATGCTGGAACAGTGAAAATCCTAAACCTGTAGTATGTATCCTCCATGTATTTAAACATTTAATTAAAAATCTTACCATGTACACTAGGGGAAAATGTTCCTTAATAACATCCATTCAAATGAAGATATTAAAGGTATGAAGATATTATAACTAAACCCTGCTTTGTTGCATTGTAGGTTTTCATTTTTTGAAACAAACTAAATTTAAGGGGGGAGGTTAGCTGACTCTTTGAATCCTTTACAAACATATCTATGATTTCTTCCAAACCGACCTCCTCGCACATTTAGGATTTTGTTCAGTGTCAAAACTACATTTTTTGGGTGTTTCGTTTTGGGATTGTACTTGATTACTACCATGGGCCATCACCTTTAGCACAGCCGATATAGCTGCAGCTCTTTGGGAGTTCTTGGAAAGCAGAGGCTCCTGAAGATAATTTACCCCTTCCAGAAATCTTTCTCCTCCATCTGTTCAGCTGAGTACTAGTTTGATTTATGCTTCTTTCGATACAGGAAAATATAGTCATCATGCTGCAGTCTGATCTTAACCTGTAGAAAAATGTTTATCATCTGTGATCCTTTCTCCTTGGAGATGACATTTATAATTTCTCAGGGCAAGAGTAGAAAGTAATTTATATATTTTCTATTCTCTGTCTGTGAAGATATTCAGAAGTTTGGATAGACTGCTGCATGTCAGACCTTTTGTACAGCTGTGCGTATTTACTGTGCTTCTTTCATTATGTACCCCATGAAGAGTCTCATACAATGGTCACATAAAGGGGAGGCCCGATAAATTGTAGTTGCTGTGAGATTGAATTTGTTAACTATCGGATAATTAACATCTACTTTTTGATTTATCTTCATTTAATTTCAGTCAGTTTTTGAAAGGCCTTGATCACTTTATTTACCAGACAATACTTTATAGAGCCATTTCCTGCAAATTTTGCATTATTTTCATTATAGTCTAGATTTGATGGGAGTGACCTTGCTTGATAGATGTCCTTCAGTATGGCCTTACAGTATAAATAACTACTGTTGAAGTGGGTGCAGACCTGGGTTCAATCAGATTTAATTAATTGTATTACACTGACCTGATGGTTGCCAGCTATTGTAGAACAATGTTCTAAAATATATCTCTTAAATATCAGGGATATTCCCTTTTCAGTGCTTACTTGCCATCATCTCTGTAAGGTGTGTGGTCTGAGTTGGCATCTTTGATCCTGTGAAGAACCCTTTCTAGGCTTACACAAGGAAAGTTGGTATTGAGGCATACATTTTCCTTCCTTTCCAAGGTAGTTTTAGCTATTCAACTTAACCATTACATTGTGCTCTTGTCCCTCTGCCATAACCCAGTACATTATAGGTATCCCCTTCTCTGTCTGGATGTAGTTTGAGCTGTACCGGTCTACCTCAAAGCCATTGCCTCTATTGGACAGACGGATTACCTCGTTCTCACCCTGATTGTCCCTGAAAATGGGAACCAGTTTCTTGTTCCACCATTTCTTGGGAGCTCAGACAAATCCGCGTTCATGCTTGTGTTAAAGTTTGGGTTTTATTCTTTACTCTCCTGGCATACTCTTCTAGATATGCCAGTGCTTCTTGGGCTTTTCAGCTTCAGACAGCTGTTTTCCAGATTGTAAGGCTGCCACCTGATTTTCTGTTCACTCTGTTTTACTAGGTTGATGTTCAGGCCTCTTTAGAGACCAGCTTTGTGTGTTAGGTCCTTCATGTGGTTCTTTGGGCTGCAGGCAGTCCCCAGTTTTTTTTTAGTTGGGCTGGTTATCATTTTGTTTGCTGTGTTGCCCACACCCCTTTTGGGCATCCCAAATGTCTGAATCCTGTGTCACTCAATGAACAAAAAAGAAAACAGGATTTTCTTTCTTACTGTAAAATCTTTTTCTTCACTGTGAGATACACGGGTCCCACACATCTGTGTTTATGGTCTTGTTCTCTGTACTGCTTTGTTACAAAATCTAGGAATGCTGGGAGTGAGAGGTGTTGTGCCAGGCTGTTCACGTGTTTTGGTTTGTCTTTTTTAAAGTTTGCTAGTGTCCAAACCCTACAGTAGTAAGCAGTATCCAAATGGCTCTGAATCCTGTGTGTCTCGATTTTAACTTGCATAAGAATCCTGTTTCTGTACTTGCTGAAAATGCTCTTAGCCTGAAAAGTGAAAACTTATGCACCCACCACATCCAAGGACTAGTAAGCTGCCGTTTGTTTTGGGGGTTAGAGCTGTTTTATTACTTTCTAGTCTGAGCTTTAATCACACCTTCAGAGGTTTTTTAAAATATTTTTCATTTCAGGCCATAATACACTTTAACAGGATTCTTTTGTGAAGCACAAGTAACCAAAACAAACTAAGCAGATGTGAAAAAGAAAAGCAAATTGAAAAAGATATGGAAATGTACCCTGCATAACAATCAACCTCTAAGGCCCCGTTCACATTGAGCGATTTATCGCGCGGTAATTCCCGCGATATCGCGGCTATTTACCGCGCGATATCGCTCTTCAATGCATCTCAATGGGGCAAAGGGTCCTGCTGTCGCGGGTCGTGTGTCGCTACAGCAGGACCCTTTTTGGAGCGGATTTTGCCGCGATTCTCGCTTGCTCAATGCAAGCATTTGCCCGATATCGCGCAAAATGCAAATTGTGCGACAAACGCGCGATTTGCAAACCAAACCGCTCAATGTGAACGGGGCCTCAAAGTCATTAATTTTATTTTAAACGTTAGTGTGTGTGAATATTTGTAAAAAAGTTTTGGCTAGAGTAAGGAAGGGTCAGAACACCTGGCAGTTTGTTTTTTTTTCTGTTCTTGCCCTCAATATTCTGGTGAGATTCACCCACTCTATTCAGGTGATTAATGTCACCAGGACAGAAAGTGATGGGAAATCCAAAATTTTACAGTTTCCACTTGAATAGAGAGTGAGGGAAAGTCTCCCGATGGAAGCACAGTTTCCATTAACAGCTTTATAAACAGGAATTTCAACTTATCTTGCATAGATATCCTCTCACTTTTGTTACGACTCTGAAAAACCCAGACCACAAAAAGAAAACCGGACGGGTTTTTGACAATTCCTTATATTTAAAACTTTGTAAAAAATGGCTAGAGATACACATGCACCTATAATTTTTTTGACTGCTGTCCATTTCCCACACCACGTCTTT